GGGGGGGGGGGGGGGGATTGGATTATTGAAGGGTCTATTTCTTCCGCATGAGGATATTTCGGACGAATGTTCTGCACTGAGAGACAGCGAACAAGTTTTCAAACAAGTCTTGTTTGGGCCAACAAAATCGTTAGGTGAAAATGACTAAAAAAAAAAATGTTGGGTTCGAATTTGAAAGTCTCAAATATAAATAATCACTCTATTTCCAACACCAATGAAATATTTGGCTCAAGAGGCGGATCATTCGTACACGGAGAGAAATGTTTGATAAAAATTATCCTACCCTTCTATAAAAATGTATCATGAGTCATCGTTTCCTCATTTCTATCCCGAAATTTAATAAAAATTAATATATGATGATTAAATTTAATTCTACGTTAGAGAAATTTTATCCTGACGCATAATAAATTTTACCCTTCCAGTCCGATAGTTTTTATGTAGATAACAACGAAAATTCTAGAACGGTTGGTAAATGTTACCCTACCGGTAGATTCATTTTTACTCTACCGGCACGGTAATTTTTATTTTAATCAGGATAAAATTTTTCTAACGTAGAATAAAATTTGATTATCATATGTGGACATCCGCATGAAAAGGGACCACTTTGTCGATTCTAGTTTCCGAGATATAGACGTTTTTGTCTCAGCAACTCCCATTAACACTCATGTTAAAGTGTTTTTTTCATCGGCCCCGACGACGTCATTTTTCACCGTTACCCGAGTGGAAATTCTTTTCAGGTCTCGATCAGAAACTGATCAAGTCCGATCCGAAATTCTGATCAGGCATGTTACGCCTCTGCCTTATGTTTTTTCCAGGGTTTTCTAGGGTTTCTCCGCCTTCCATCATTAGAGCATTAATTAAATTTAATTTTTTGAGAGAAAAAATTAGTAACTTCCTAGCCGGGAATCGAACCCGGGACCTCCCAATGTCGCGTCGGGTGCTCTTACCATCTGAGCTATGGTACACTTACGAATTTCACTCTCAAATTGACTCATACCCGAGTGGAAATTCTTTTCAGGTCTCGATCAGAAACTGATCAAGTCCGATCCGAAATTCTGATCAGGCATGTTACGCCTCTGCCTTATGTTTTTTCCAGGGTTTTCTAGGGTTTCTCCGCCTTCCATCATTAGAGCATTAATTAAATTTAATTTTTTGAGAGAAAAAATTAGTAACTTCCTAGCCGGGAATCGAACCCGGGACCTCCCAATGTCGCGTCGGGTGCTCTTACCATCTGAGCTATGGTACACTTACGAATTTCACTCTCAAATTGACTCATACCCGAGTGGAAATTCTTTTCAGGTCTCGATCAGAAACTGATCAAGTCCGATCCGAAATTCTGATCAGGCATGTTACGCCTCTGCCTTATGTTTTTTCCAGGGTTTTCTAGGGTTTCTCCGCCTTCCATCATTAGATNCACATATATTAATTTTTACTAAATTTCGGGATAGAAATAAGGAAACGATGACTCATGGTACACTTTTATAGAATGGTAGGATAATCTTTATCAAAAATTTCTCTCCCGGTACAAAACGGTGCCTTTTCAGGATAAAAATATATTTTCCGCCACGGCGGGCGCAAAGTGCGCATTTCCTTCGCGCAAAACGGGATATCTGACTTTGCGCCTACGCGGTGACGGACAATAACGTCCTGACCACGGGAGGTTAAATAAAGGGTCCTTACCCACGTGCCTTCGGCTCGGGTGGTAATTCTGCACGTGGGCACGACTCCTTTATTTTTCCGCTCTAGGTACGGAATGTACTATTCTTTGCAGACGTATTAAAAAATAGCATGTGCACCTCGGGCGGGGAACACATGAATTTCCACCCTTGGTGCACAATATACTATTCTTGCTTGCACAGAGAATTAATTTTTTTTTTTGAAAAGACTAAATCTATTTTTGCAATAAAAATTTTCAATCTCAGCACACGCTGCGCATGTTTGGCATAAGTAAGACTTATTTGAGAATTGCTGATTTGCTCTCAGTGTATTCAGCGGACTGAGAGCAACTCAGCAGAGAACTGCTGTTTCGCTCTCAGTGTATTGTTAAAATGAGTTAGAATGATCTAAAAGGCGAGAAATAATGATTTGGGAAGACGTTCATATGTGCATCACAGCTATTCGAGAGCTTGTTCTTCGATGGCATGGGTGTTGATGGGATTTTTGTTTATGGAAGTACATCTAGAACGCATTATCTAGTCTAATAGAAGCATGGCGGATTGAACAATTTCTTGGATGCTAGTCTTTTTTTATCCATTATTTGACTACCACTGAAAAATTAATCGTTGCATTTGCTTTATTCGTAATTCACCACAATGACCCCAACATGATTCATTGTCTGGGATTGAATATAATTGACTTCGCACAGCACTTCCTAATTCATAACTCGGAACACATGTAGCTTTGTAACATAAAGCAGCGCTGAATACATTGTTTTTATTGTTCGATGATTAAATAACGAGAGTGGCTGTTGTGGCCACGCGGGGAGTGTGTGCCCATTGAGTCAGTGTGACTAATGGACACAGTGAAATCCCTGCATTATCGGCCGGCTGCACGACTGAGGTTTTCCATGGTTTCCCTGGCAGTCTAATCCCGAATGGGGTGCAGTTGGGGATAAAGTAAGTCGGCCCATGGTAACGCAGATAGGGAAGGGAACAAAATGTAAAAACCCAAGAGGGTATACATATGGAACCAAAAAAAAAACGAGATAGACGAATAGACGATAAAGGAGGCAATACACACCGAAAGTGGGCATGAGCATGAGTTTATACGGGGTTTAAAGTTTTAAATATGTGGAGTATTGGCCTCGATATCGGGGTTTATTTTTTTTCGATTTAGTATATTTTTGTTCACTCCTGCTACCTTCACCTCGTGCCGAAAATAGTACATTGTGTTATCAGGCGATAAAGTATTATCTGACTCATGTGATTATAATCCTCTCCTCCCCAGTAGAAATTTCGTGGCGCAAAAACATCGCAGTGTGAGTTGGCGCGCAACATTCAATGTTATAAGCATAGGCCCTTCGGCTTAATGCCGCAGAATTTCGATCAATTTCTACTAGGGCTTCGGCTCGAATTATAAAATCGCATTCATCAGATAATACTTTTATTGCCGTGTGACATACAATATTTTATGTCTCTGGGTTCGAAAATCGCGATCTAACCAAGCAAAGCGAGGTATTGCAATCGCGGTTGATCGGGCCTAGTGACATAAAGCGCCTTTTCGTTTACTCGCAACAGAAAAGTCTTTTCGTTTACTCGTAAATGAAAAAAAGCACAGTCGCCACGTGTTGAGCGTAAAATCACTGACTAAAAATATAGTTCGACAGATGTGCGACGGGGATTTTTCAGCGCGTTCGATTGGCAGCCCTCGGTTTTACACTTATGAAAAACCCGCCGCACTTGTATCGAAATATACTAATCTCCCATTGGCCTCTACTTTTCTTCTCATTTTTACATTCTTTCAGTGAGTGAATTATAAATTGAAAAATAACTCCAGTAAAATCTTTTACTAAATTTATTTTTAAATTCACAATTCCATGTATAAAAGAAGTTGGTGTATTTAAATTTGTCAATAGTACTGTAACCAATTCTTCTTGATTACTAAAAATGATAGTTTTATAAGTTCCCCTTATCATTGTAAAAAATAACACAATTCTCCTCAAACATGGAGAAATTAGATTTTCGGAAAATGGATCAACGGCATTCTCAACCCTGGTCTGGTCACCCCAGGGACTTTGGTCATCTCCGTGGGAATATGCCACCGTGTTATTTAGGCTTCAACGTTGCCAAATTTACTCTGCACTGCCCGCGTGCATTTAGCAAGTTTCCGGCAACGTTTCGGAACCGGCTATTTGATTTGGCATGGGAAAAACAATTCTTTTGTTGGAAATAATTTATTTTCTTTTGAAATTTCGGGAATTACGTTGTTCCAAAACCACTATATTGGATTATACACTTCAATTGAAAGAGACAAATTTTTTGATTTTTCCGATTTGGCTAGTAACGAATTTCCCTCAGATGGTGAGCGATCTAGGTTTAAATTACTATATCCTTTTCTTTGATATGTGTCCACAAAGTTTGGAGAAATTGTCTTTCCAAAATAACGAGAAAAACTATCAGGGGACAGAATATATGCGGACAGAAATCCTGTCCATTCGGATGCGAATTACTAATTCAGCAGTGAAACGTGCTATGGAGATTTCACCTCATCATCATAATTTTACTAAATATTTTAATGGGAAAAGTATCGAAAGTTCTCTGAGGATCCGGCAGAGAGAAGAATTCATGAAAGGATTGACTTATAGTTGAGAAATCGATTCTGTTGAGTGTTTGTAATGAGTTGAAGTATTGAGCAATTGTATTAATTATGAATTTGAATAATATTTTGATTTGATTAAGGTCGGAAAACTCTATAATTGTGTCTATTATGACTTGGAAATAGAATTGATTCATTTAAACTTCGTAATTTTCTGTGAAAGGAAATCGTCGACACGGAGAGAAATATTCAATAAAAATTACGGAATTTTCCCAGAACGTTTCGTAATTTTTACTGAATATTTCTCTCCGTGGATATTGATAACTAAAATCAACTGAATATTACAAGCTAACCGATTTATAATTTTCATCATACTTTTGATTTTTAGAAAATGTATAATAATAAGAATACGAACAAATTGGATTGGGAATTAGAATAATAGTTTTATCTAAAATACGAATTATTTTACGTGTCCCAGAGACCATTTGTTAATGGTTAATGCGCTCATTTGGAAGTAGCGTGAATCATGGAGGAATATTATTTAAGATGAATTGTTATCGTAACAACTTATCATTTATTAACTATGAACGAATGGTGCATTTGTTTCACTTTTGTTGTAAAACGTGGCGTGATTTTATGATGAAGAACTAAACGTTTTCTTCCTCTGTGCACAGAGAAAGATTGTTCAGAAAAATTCTAATTCTGGTACTGGAAAAAATCCCAATGCACCTATGAAGAATTCTAGTGCTGTTAAGATAAAATTTTTAGGGATTTCTGATAAAATTTCCGGGGATTTCTGTGAAAATTTCATGTGAGACCGGGAAAAATTCACGTGCTGTTCAATAAAATTTCCAGTACCGACAGTGGAAGTTGTCCCGGACCTTCACATTGCGCCCTTTTTCTCGTGCTAGCACTAGAATTTTCCTAGAGAATATTTTTTGTCATTCCGGCCGTGAGGCAGCGCTTCACGGACGCTCCGCTCCGCTCCGCGTCCGTGAATCTCTGCCTACGGCCGTCATAACAAAAAATACTGTTCGTCATACGGCCAAAAAAAACTTTTCTGCCCTCCGGCCGGAAAGCGTCAACTTCCTGGCCGCTGCGCTAAACGAAGTTGCCACTTTCCGGCTACGTCGAGCAGAAAAATGGTATACACACCTTGGCCAGTAAATAAGAAAGCCTCAGATCACATGGTTGTTGACCTCGGCCGACAATTACATGTGATCTGAGACATTCCTTACTTTACTGGCCAAGGTGTGTAATCTACTATTTCTAGCTCATATGATTGCAAACTCATATTCGCCAGAAAAGTTTTAGTGACGAAATATACTATATCTGTGTGTAATCATCCCAAGAAATCATTTATTATTCAATCTATGCTCTCCAATGCATCAAGCGGGTACTGCCTTAAAGTAGCTCTATACCCTCACGGTAAATTCAAAGATTATTAAAATCTGCAAATATTTGCAGAAAACTCGATAAGATACGAAATTCTAATTTTTTTCTTAATTTAATTATCGTTTTAGTTTTTGAAGGAAGAAATGTTTAAGAATCAGGATTGAACCCAATGTCTTATGCGAAAATCGACATTTCCATTATAATCAAAGATTAAAATCTGATTTTTTTTTTCATTAGATGTGAAAAAATCAAGAATTTTTTTGACACCTAATAAAAAATAATCCACCGTTTTGCAAACAAGTTTTATTATTTATTTATAAGAGGGAAATGTTTGAAAAAATATCAATATTTTGCCAAATTTAATTTAGATAATACTGACTGGGTATGAATTTTTTCAAATTTTTTCCATGCAATTTAGTTGAAAAATTTAAAAACTGAAAATATTCAAAAGTACAGCGTAGCCCGGCTGAAGGGTAGAGTTACTGTAAACTTATTATTTTCTCGTTACCCTGATGTAGATATTTTCAACGATTCAATGGACTCTCTAGTGAATAAGACATATAAACCTGTAAAAACTTATTATTGACGTCATACACAACAATCACGACCTCTTTACTTTTAATGTTTACTATTTCTTCTTTTTGGGGCTAGATATTTAAGTTAATCTGTTTATATCATACCTCGTACATTCATTACTTAGTGCGAACGTGTGAATGGCGATGCGTTAATTATTCCCATACTATTTATAGGTCTTGTAATCGGCTTCGGCTGTCTTGATTGGAATAAACAAATAAAATAAAATGAATCATTTTGTAGAACCCCCTCAACCCACCGAGGATTGTCCCCACCAATACGGCTACTTCAAAATCGGCGATCGTCAAAATTGCGGACAATTCATGAACTGCGCTGACGGTAAAGGCTACACATTCGATTGTCCCGAAGGTCTGGCATTTAACCCAGTCTCTTATCGCTGCGACTGGCCAGACCAGGTGCCCGATTGCGACGCCGAAGGTATGTCCCATAAAAACAAACATTTACTGAGCGAAAAACAACAGAGTTCTCAAACAAAATGGATTTTTTTGTGCCAAACATGTGCCAAACACAATAGATTTAGTTTTTTCAAAAAAATTTTATTCTTTGTGTAACCAAGGTATGTAATTTCTAGCACAATTTTTAATTACTCGATGCTCCCATACGTCTTTTGATCCCGGCAAATTCTCGTTTTATATGAAACGAGGGATAGTAGTTTGTCGTTTTGGCTATTAACCCACACGGAAAAATTTATATTTTGAAAAATGTATACAAAAATACCTCCAATTGGCCCAATTTTTATAAACAAAATATATAAAACATATATTTAAATATATAAAAAAATTAATTATTAATTTTATGTACTTTTTTAATACATTCCTTATAAATTTGAAAAATATATGAAATTGGCCCATATTATGTATTTTTTAAATATTTTTTTATAGGGGTAACCGCAGACCAAAAATGAATTCTTAAATGAAATATTAATAATTATATGACAGCAATCTTGTACCTTCGGGACAAAATATTTGTTGATAAACTTTCCTCTATAAAAAATATTTTTCTCGTGAAAAGGCTCGTCTTGTGTGAATGATCCGCCTCTTGAGCCAAATATTTCTTTGTTGTTGAAAGTAGGGCAATTATTTATGTTTGAAATTCTCAAATGCGAACCAACCAATTATTTTTTGGTTATTTTCAACTAAGGATTTTGTCGGCCCAAAAAAGATTTGTTTGAGAACATGTTGGTTTTTCTCTCATTGTAGCAGTGGAATGAACACCTCATACTAATGGTATTTTCAGCCTTTCTGGGATTCACATGTCCTCAAGGGGAGAACGACGGGTTCTCCGTTGAAACAAGATTCTTCAGAAGCCCGAACGACTGTCAACGTTACTTCGTCTGCGTCGAGGGCCGCCCCAGGCTTCAAAATTGCGGCGAGGGGAATGCATTCAGTGAATTGATAAATGCCTGTGACGCCGCTGAGAATGTCACCGGATGGTGCGTTATTTTAATCATCATTGAGTATCTCCATATAGCTAGGAAATAACGCTTGCAATTTCAAATTGAAACTTGAAATTTTTAACAAAACTTGCGATGAAATTCATGTTTTTTTTTATTGATGAATCAATCAATTTCTTGAATTTTCAATGAAATTCTAATTTTCAGATCCGTCACACATGAAACAATTTAATAGAACAGCATAGCGAATTCGCTCGATAATTCTATTGGATTTTTATTGATTTTTTAAAATAGTTTTTGGCCGATTCTATTAAAATGTTTTCTATAGAATTTTCTCAACTCAAATTCTTCAATTTTTTTTCATTCTATTTTTCTTCTTTTCATCAAGAAAATCAAACAAAAAAACTCAGAAAATTTAAGCCCAGGAAATTCTATAAAAAATATCTCAATAGAAAAAGTTGTATAGAAAAATCGAATTCGTGAAGTTTTTCAATTAAATTTTTCGTACGTGATAGGATACTTTTGAACAAAAATGGATATTGAATTCGATTTAACTAGTAACGGGCCCTCTTCCATGCGCTGCATTTCATAATCGTCATCCTATCCCTAATTATGAATTTTTTTGAAATTTTAAATTTCAGTGCCTTTATTACTAGATTGTGCAGTGCCGGAAGATTTTCCGTGCATAAGAATCAATAATTGCAGGAGAAAACACAATTCGAATTCTCACGCCAACACACCGCGTCAAATTTCAGATACAATTGAAGTGAACACAATTCAAGTGGATTCATATAATTTCAAGCAGAAATGAGATGAAAATTTTACAACTGACTTGAACTTTCAATTAAAATTATTTACTTGAATTTTCCTCATTTTCTCTAATTTCCATTGGATAATGGAATTGAAATTCAGAGTTTCGATTGATTTTCTCATTCAAATATTTGAAAATAAAGAGAATATATATATATATATTTTTTTTTTATGCTTATTTTATATCGCTTCGAGTCTGATGAGACTATATGGCGATTGATCAAGACTTTAAAAATGGTTAGATCTCACCATTCTACCCGGCCAGGAATCGAACCTGGAACCTATCCGTTGTGAGGCAACGGCCTTAACCACTACGCCAGGCCACCGGGAATAAAGAGAATATATGATTTGTCAAAGCGAAGATTTCCTAAAATTTCGTCTCAAATGTCACTTTTTCCAAATTTTCAGGGTTTGACATGAAAAATTCAGACAAAAATTTCCAACGTATACAATGAAAATTATTGAAAATTCTAAAAACGCAACAACAATTTCTCATGAATCCTTAATCCATGAAAAACTTAATTGAATGTAATTTTTCATGTCTACAATGAGTTTGAAAATTCAAACATTCATTAACATATCAGTAATCATTCACCATAAACCCTAATTTTCGTTGAATTTTCAAGACGAACGAGAGTCCCCGAACAATGCCATCTTTCACTGAATTCCCATCCACACTATTGAAGATTCGGTTACAGCTGTTCCTCAAATTACAAAGAATCCCTAACAATGAATGCAGAACACCAAATCTGCCGGCCTAATGGTCTCTTTATTGTTGCAGCGAGCCCCCATTCCGCCGAGAGGACCATCAGACGGGTCCCCAGCGAGTAAACCAGCACTCAAGAGCCCGATTCTTCTGATCCTCCATCACAATAATCAAAACAATCTACAATTTACCACCTACTTGTAAATAAACGCCTGACATTAACCATTTATGATGGGAAATCCAACCATTTCTTTGTCCACTTATTTATAAAGCGGGGTAGAAGACCAATCGATAGCTGAATAATAAGCTGTAGCCCCACTCCCCAACGCACATTGCTGTTGGTATGGGAGATAGTGTCTGTGTGGGTCGTTTCATTTGTCGCTAGTAGTGAATCATCTGTTGGAACAGTCGTATGTCGAGAAATAATCACCGCCAAAGTCGCAAGAGCAAAAGAACTTATCGGGAATTTTTGTGTGGAATACGGGTACAATTGCGTTAATCAGTTATCAATTGATCATTGATTTCCGGGGCAAATCATGGCTGGCTATTGTGCTGTTGCCCCTTCTCCCAGTTGGATTATTTCGATCCGTCTCTCCACTATGCTCTCAATTTCAGAGCCGGCGAAACAGTCGCACACTGTCGTTTCTTCCTAACCGAATTCGTCCGGTGGTAACTCTTTGTCTTATCGCCCCCCTCTCTTGCTGAATACTGGCTAATGTTGTGAATATCCATGATGTGATTATCGGGAATTATAGGACAGGCGATACTGACGACGAATCGGCTTCATCTTTCAGTCGGGAGACGAAATTGCGCTGGGGGTTCGAATTCGAAATTTTTTCTGTCTCGAGTTCGGGTTGAGCTTGAGATTACGAACGACGTTGGAATACGGAGGACAGTTATCGGATGGTCTTCGGAAATGGACCTCCTCGTGTATCTGTTGCCCGTTATTGTGCTCGTGATTTCGTGCGGCTTTGAGAGTCGTGATAAGTTTAGGTATTATGGGAAATTTGTGCTTTATGGGGTGTGGAGTTCTATCGTGGCTGTACTCATGCTGCCGTGGATTCTCGTCGACTCGCCCGGACACGTGAAGCATGCCAGGTGAGGGGGTTCAAGTGACGTTGACGTTGTGCCATGTGCGGGGATGGGTGGAAATATTTTGGAACGATTCTTCGGGGAGATTGAACTTTTTTGGACGGTGGGGAATGCCACGTGGAAAAAAATATGACTAAGCACGCAGGGGTTCGAGCTTATCCGACAGAAGGCATGTGACCGCTACTTTTTGCGTCATTAGTCTTTTTCGTTTTTTTATTTCTACCAATTCCAGTGGTTGTAAGCTCCCGAATGGATCCGTAGCAATTTCCTATTCTTGTGACAGACTTATGACCGTAACCGTATGCTACCGTGTGTCTACAGGAAAATATTCCTTTAATGACCTTTCAATGAAAAAGATACAAAACGTTAAATATTGTAAGGGCTATTGTCATACCAAATTTCTACTTGCTATCCCCATTTTTCTCAAGTTATCGTGCGTACAAGAATGAAAAAATTTGAAAAACGAAAAAATAGGAATATCTCGGAAACTTTGTATGAACGGATACACGGATAGAAATGTTCAGTAAAAATTACGGAACTCACAGTTCGCTCACCGATTACGGAATCGATTCAGAAAATTTAAGTGATAGTATCGTAATTTTTCACAGGAGATTCAGGTAAAAATTACGGAACGCTCTGGAAAAATTCCGTGATTTTGGGTAAAAATTGCGTGAGAGTTTCGTAAAATTTTCTACAACCACATTGCGCTCCGGAATTACGGAAAAAACGTAATTTTTATTGAATATTTCTCTCCCTGTCTATATTTTTTTTTTCATTGCATTTTTCTTGTTTTAAATAAGTTGATTGGAGAGATCGAAACCTATCGATTTTTCAATAAAATATTTTCGAAAGGAATCGACAAAGAAACAACAGAATTTCCGTAAAAATTCCGTGAAAATATCTAGCCCAAGGTTTTTTATTAAATTGTTTCGTACGTACTACTATGAAGAGTGTTATCAAAAAGCCGAGAAAATTTCTTCAACAATTCGAAAAAAAAACATTTAAACTTTTTAAACTCTCAATTTGAAACTTGTTTTCGTAATATTTTGAAAAAACTGGGGGAGAAGATGTAATTTTTTTTTAATTCGATACAATTTTTTTTCTCGTCCCCTTATCTGTATTTTATCATATCAATTACCCTTCGCTTCATGCGAGTGATACAATGACATTCGTGAAAAATACGTGGATTAGATTATTCTCCACGTATTCCATTTCGAAACTTGTTCGTCATGATTTTTTTTATCACTTTTCCGGTCATTTCATGCACTCAAGAATGGATGAGCCATTAAAAATGTACTTTGTGATCCAGCCAGTATTCTTTGAATAATTTATGTTCCACGTTCATAATATTTCTCATGTGTTAGGCATGCCTCGATATTCTTACGACTGTATACACAACTTTTGGGCATCAAATGGGAACTTCGGGGCGTGGAGGAGATCCACAAAGCCGAGGCGTGTGTGGTCGTGGTGAATCATCAAAGTATATTAGATATTTTAGGTAAATATCAATTGTCAATACAGAGATAAAAAGTTTTTAGTTTTAGAAGTAGGTAAGGAATTTTGGAATAATTGAGTATTAATTCAATATTAATTGAGTCAAGACGCCAAGGTGATATACGTTGAATACTAATGATTTATAAACATGAGTAGATTAAGTTCAGAAAAGGAAAAAAGAACCAAGAACCAAAACCAAGGACCAAAAATTTTTCGATTTGAAAATGTAGAAGTTCTTGATTTGAAAATCCCATAGTTCTTATTTTAAGAAGCTAAATACGCGTGAAAAAATTCAATAGGAAACCTAGCGAATTCGCTACAAAATTATGTTGGAATTTTATAGGGATTCTATGAGGTTCCTATAGGATTTTTATTGGAATTCTATTGAAAAATTCCATTTGTTTTTTGCGCTAATTCTATTGGATATTCGATAAGAATAAGTCAATAGATTTCGAATTTCTGTTTGGAATTTTCTCTTAAGATTTTTTCTATAAGAATGCTTGGGCATCAATTTTTTAAGTTTTTTCCAGTCGGATTCTGTAATGCAAAACACAACAAAATTCAGCAGACAAACCTTAGATATTTGTGCCTAATAATTCTAATAGAAAAAATCTCAAGAAAAAAATTCGAAAAGAAATTCGAAATTGATTGACTTTTTCTTATCGCATATCTAATAGAATCAGCGCAAAAAAACAAATAGATTATTCCAATAGAATTCCAATAGAAATCCTATAGAAACCCCATAGAATTAAAATAGAATTTTCTAGCGAATTCGCAACGTTTTCTATTAAATTTTTTCATACGTGAAGCTCCTGAATTTCAGAATAAAAATTTCTGCAGTATAAGAGGAAATGCGCCTTGATTTAAGTACAATCACACTACATCACTGAAATTTATGGGCCAAATTCCTCAAGATTTAGGATTAAAATCCCTTGATCTCAGGGATGGCCATCAATCTTCCGATTCCTCAATATTAAAAGAATTTCCGACTTACATTGATCAAGGTTCAAATATACTAATCCAAATTTAAAAATAGCAAAATAATTGATAATCTAAATTGTCAATTGATGATGAATTAAATATTTTAAAAAATGGAACTATAAATTTTCTATTAAGCAGATAATACTAAATTTCTTATAAGGGATTTCCGATTACCCAAATAATTGTCATCTCCCTAACTCAATTACTGATTAATGAATAATTCAAAATTTGACTAGTTAAATTGATGATTATTTCAATAATTAAAATTTGAAAGTGATATCAACTAATTGACAATTTAATAATTTAACAGTAATTCAGTGGCGAAGTGGTAAACCGGTTTAACTACACTTATCTCCTAGTTGAGTTTTTCAGGAAAATTTCCGAATCTAACGGAGATAGCCAAATTTTCGTAATTATATTTGTTATAGCTCTCCATCGGCTCTACAAAAGAGGTTTTAACGAAAATGTTGCCATCTCCCTTAGATTCCGGGATATTTATTAAAAACTGGTCAATAGTAAAAATTGACTTATACCGTTGTATCACTTCGCTACTGAATTATAATTTATGATATGGTTATCCCTGCTTGACCTTAGGATTTCTTAATCATTCAAATCGAGAGTACCGCAGATCCCTAAGAAATGAAACTGTTTTTCTGTCAATCACAGGTTTATTCAACATTTGGACGACACTGGGAAATCTAGCTGCAGTAGCAAAAAACGCTTTGTTGTGGGTAATTCCCTTCGGTCCCATTGCGTGGTTAGCTGGTACCGTATTCATTGATCGTAAAAATGGCAAAGCATCGATGGAAACATTAATCACTGTTGTAAACAAATCCCAGGGCCAAGCTGTAAGTAACCGAGACATATTCACATAAAATAGAAATACATGAACTATAAAGTATTGATGAAAAACATTGACCGAAATGATCAAGGTAGACGAAGCTGTTAATCTTCCCAGAAGGCACGAGGAATAAAGATATTTTATCAAATGGAATTCAGACATTCAAGAAGGGCGCCTTCAAGATAGCGATTGATAATCGCTTGCCGATTCTACCTCTCGTTTTTTCACCTTACTACTTCATCGATGAGAAGACATGCTTTTTCGGACATGGTGAGTTATCAATTGAGATAATGATGGGATATTTTTTTTTGTTCCCAATCAATTTCCAAAGCAGACAAAAATTCATAATTCCCATTCATTGATAATTTGACGAAATTAAAAATTGTACGTAATGCCATCGAAAAGATCGAAATATGTCGACCGTAATTCTAAAAAGATCACTTATGTGAAACAAAATTCATCGGATAAATTCCATTTCTGTGATATCTCAGAAACTACGTGACCAGAACATGTGATATTTACTGTTTTTCATTGAGGGAAAATATTTTTATTTCTCAGCTTGCGTCATCACCTTTGACCTCTTTGAGGTTTTTACAAGCGAATGGATGACAAATCACAAGAAAAATTGAATGATCAAAATTATTATTTTAATGATTATGATTATTAATTGATTGGAGAATTAAAAAAATATTTTCGAATAAAAAAACCGTAGAACCGATCCAAACCTCTCAAAAAAGATTCGAATTATTTTCGTACACATCCACGGTATTCGGGGTTACGGGACACATTTCACCAAAATGTGAGGAATATCTGTCAAATTCGTTGAAAATAATTGACAGGTTACAGGGAAATTATCAGTCTGAAATGCGCCACGGTATCCCGAATACTGCACTCTGATTAGTCAAAATCAGAATTGAGGAAATTGTCATCGTAAATTTCTTCGCATCATGTCCACACAGATCAATCATTTCAATTCTTTGTCACACAGGAAGGGTGATAATCAGTGCCCTAGAGCCGATTCCCACGGAGAATCTAACTCCCACCGACGTGGAAGAATTGATGACCAAGACACACTCAATAATGCAGAAAGAGTTCGAATCTCTGACAAAAGAAGTGCTCTCAACCGTGCCGCAGGACTATCCCGCCAACGTCCAGTGGCGCCAGGAACACTTCAAAAATATGAATAGCTGATAACTCAACCCCCATACTCGGAGAGAAATATTCAATAAAAATGACGTATCTTTTCCGTAATTCCGGGGCGAAATGTGGTTGTAGGAAATTTTACGGAACTGTCACGGAATTTTTCCGGAGCGTTCCGTAATTTTATCTGAATCTCCTGTAAAAAATCACGATACCGTCACTTAAATTTTCTAAGTCAATTCCGTAATCGACGAGTGAATTATAAGTTCCGTAATTTTTACTGAACATTTCTCTCCGTGTAGTGAAACCCACAGGTGTTCAAATGACCAACAAGACCTGCAATAGATCAGAATCTCGATTTTTATCCGATTACCCTCAACGATTATTTTTTGTAATTGAAATTTCTTTAATTGAGATTCAAAGTACATTTACATTGTCTCTGGTTGTACATGTATTGGTCTTTTTCACGGTGAAGTACCTCGGCATATGAGGAGGTCATGAATGGCAATAATCTGCATGAAAACCTGCATTACCGGCTGGATCGAGAAACCGGTTTGTAGTACCCCCTTCTCTTAGCGAAGTACCTTCTCTCTAGCAAGGCCCACTTATCTACCACTTGCGACATGTTATCCTGGTATCGATGTCTAGGAGCAGGAGCTAGGAGATCGGTAGCAGGATCGGTAAAAGCCCAGCGATGAGTCTCACCGAGAGTGCATTCACCTGCGCCATCCGCTCTGCCCTTCTCTCTCTCCTAAACGTTTTTTTTCCACAGCAGCTAGTTTCAAACTGACATTTATTGAGTCTAGACAAGAGGCACGAGGAAATCGGTTGAGGGAGCGTTAAAATTATCAGTTCATTTTCGGGGGTTTTGAGTCGATATTTTTATTAGAGGAATGGGTCCTGGAAGGGAAAGGCGGCGTGCTCGGGTCGCACGAGGTCAGCGAGGAAACAGAGAGTACCAGCTAGGCCCTCGTAAAGTGAGTATGGACAGTCCGGCGTCCAGGCATGTCGTTCGAACTCGGGGTTCTTGAGAAATCGGGCGAATTTCGCCGCCCGGCGCAGGTGAATCGGGTCGTCCGTGAGTCTGTGGAGGAGTAGGAAAACGTAACCGCTGCCGGCTACACCGTGACAGATTCCCGGGCCCTTGCGGAGGAGGCCCTTTCGCCACACCAGATCGCCGGCGCGAAGACACGCCTGGAGGTAACGGGGGTCCTGGTAGCGCCGGTACGCCGCTGCGAGGAGGTATACTGCGCCTGGGGCCCCGTGACACCAGTGCACCAGTTCGTTGTCCTCCCGGCGAGAGTTGGGGCCAGTTTTGCCTAGGCTGCTTGGGTAATTGCCCGATGGGGTTTCTAGGCTCAGGAGGAAATCCACGGAGCGGTGGACCAGGCGATCGAACTCCTCGTTCGTGTCCAGAAAATTGGGAATCTGTGGAGGTTTAAGGGCAAGGGTACACTGTTAGAAAATTACTCTTGAAATGTCAAGTAAAAAATCTTGAAATTTTTAATAAGGAGTAATTTACAGGGAATTTCCATTGATCTTGTTATTGATAGAATAGAATAGAAAATGCGCGGCTGGTCACTTAAAGCGCCCAGAGTCACCTAAATCATACGATCTTTTGTGACATCCGCCTTAGTTTCGGTCAGTCACACAGCCCCAGCCCTGTGTTTCTCACTAGGCTAATAAGGCTGGTGACAGCCGCTTGTTGTAGGTCCTCTGGTTCCAGGAAAGCATGGCCCCAGATTTTATAGCGACGGAGTGCTATTGTTATTGATAAATCAGTGAATGTTCTTGAATATTCGTGAAATTTGATTTCTGAGGTTCATACGACAATGAAAATTACTGAAAAACGTGAAAATTCGGGCAACTTTTCTTCTGATTTTTCAATCTACTGCTTAATTTTTGTGACAGGTTTGAAAATCCAAATTGTCATTGAAAATTCAATGATCATTTATAATAAAAAACTTAATTTTATTGAATTTCCAAGATAATCAGTAATTCCATGAGCAATTTAGTCGGAAATTGAATTCATGTTCAGAATATTGAAAATTCGAATGCATCTGTTACTTAAATTTCAAAAAAAAATTTAACAGTGTAGGGGAGGGTAGGGCAAAACGGACCACTGACAGAAAATTGGTAATCTTTGTTTTTTTTCTTTCCTTCAAATCGGAAACACTGAATGTGTTGAATTAAAAGTGAGTTTCTTGGATCGTAACCGTCACAGGGGTTTTATAGACAAGTGTCGTTGAGCCGCAATTTGATCAGATTTGCTGATCATCTCAAACCACAAATGACTTAGAATTTGCTCCATTCGGAAGCAAAAACAAAAATTCTCAATTTTCTGTCAGTTGTCCGTGTTGCCCACCTGGTCCGTTTTACCCTACCCTCCCCTAATTTACCAACTTGATGGAAATAATTTAATGACTTCCCAAAAATTCAATTTTCGTTGTGATCATCGAAAATAACACTAGAAGAATTTGAACTATTAGCCAGAAAAAAATATGATCTACTATGTTAATATTATGTTGCTCTAGAAGATGATCATAGTAGTTTAAAGCCTTGACAGGACTCCCTTAATAATTATAAACATTAAAAAATTAATGGAAATTGTTCCATGTAGACAATAAGAAATTTAGAAACAATAAAAAATCATTGGAGAAGTTCATCCAAGGTCATGTTCAACACAGTCATCCTCCAGAGCAACATGATAGTCATAACTGAAACGTAATTGGGCTCGCCTGGGCCTAATTCGATCGGGGAAATACGATTTCTTTAAAATAAATACTTCTCTCAAGTAAATGAACATTTGGCAAAAATATTTTTTTTCCAGTGTGTAGGCAGCGTAGCATCCGCGAAGCGCTGCCTTACGGCCGGAATGACAAAAAAAAACTATTTTTGTCATTCATGCCCGTTAAGTGGCGTTTTCGTGGTGTGTTTTAGAACCCGTAAGTGGAATTTACCAGGCCATGGGCCGGTAAGTAAAAACTAGCCCCGATTTCACGATTTACGGGCCATGGCCTGTTAAGTAAGACGTGAAGTGAGTCCCTCTTACACTATAGCTCGTGCGGCTGAACTATAGTTTGCCACCAAAATCCAAAATTCACGAGGAAAATCGTAACAAATTCCGTTAAACAAAAGAGCGAAATAAATTTCATTATACTCGACAGTGACGAAGACGAGTCACAAGACATTTTTAGTGAAGTGAATAATACCAGTGACGACGCAGCAAGTACGTCAGCACAAATAGTTGAATTTTACCTTCTGACACATTCTACTTCATTTTTTCATTCCAGATCGGTCCGTTAATTTAGAATTTATAATTTATCATGTCCCTCTTTTCAATTTTGTTTATTTGGTCTTTCTTCAGTGGGGGGGGGAGGCATGAAGCCCCCCCCCGGGGCCTGCGGCCCCTGGACCCCGCTCTTCCCCCCCCCCTCCACCCGGGCATTCATGACAAAAAATAGTATGTGCCACTCGGCCCGTAGTGTCGGTTTGCGATTCGTGTGAGTTAGCAGCACTCATCGCAAACCTCCACTTACGGGCCTTGTGACACAAATAACTTTTCTCTGCGAATCTATTCAAACCCGTTCTATTCGAATACCCCCCCGATATAATTCGTCTTCTTCATAACTACCTGAATGAGAACTTGAAGAATAGACGACAGTCCATGTGCCGCGCCAAGATACTCAGTCCCATGATAAGAATACATAAGTGGACAAGGGCTTTTATGCTTGGCTGCGTACTTTTGTCCCGAAAGCACAACAATCTTCCCAAGTTGGTGCATAATTTCAACAGGTACCACCTCTCTCCCCAATCTTTTATTCAGCCACATGGCCCCACACAAGTACCCGGCGCGTCCAACAAAAAATTCATCGGATCCAGCTCGCAAAAATTCCAGAGGCTCACAGATTTCCGCGAGATCAGCGTAAAGTTTCCCGAGGAAATCGCTCTGAGTCTTGTCCCCGGTGGTCGCGGATATGACCGCGGCCACAGCGATGACCCCAGCATCTCCGCAAAGAAATCCCGAATTCAAACGATTGCTCCGGCGATTGATCGCGCGCATTGCTGGCTGCAGGTACCTCTGCGCCAGCTGCTGGTAATGGAGGGCCTGCGACGCCGATGAGACTTGACTTGCGTGGTAAAAGGCGTAGGCAATGCCAGCTGTGCCAACGTACAACTGCGCATCAGAATCCGCTTCCTCCGGCATCACTGCGTGTGTTATTCTCTCCGCCACGTTTGGCAACAACTCTTCACTCACAAACTTCAAGTCTGCTTGCAACACTTCCGGCGGCTCGTGCTCGAGCTCGTACGGGTTACTGAAGTAACGCAATCTCGCTGACATTGCACTGACGTTTGTGATAAATGGCACTTGTGTTTTTTGAAGCGAGGGAAGGAACAGTCGTGCCGGTTCACTACGAATCAGACGCAAACTGCGTAAAACGCTGTTCATTTTTTAACGCTCACTGCGGCATCTAGGGGTACTCTTGAGATTCTGTTTGATCGCTTGATGATAATGATGGGGTTGATGGAATTGGACGGACAGTTCTGACCGTGGCCAGAAAAAAGCGAGGGGCTGGTCACTCCTCAATCAGATGGCTCAGTGATTTCAGAATGGGACGATTTGTTGTGATTTCTTAAATAACAAGATCTATGCGCACGCTGATCTATTCATTTGTTGAAATGAAGAAATGGAATTCATTGAATTTCATTTTCTCATGAATACCTTATAAATATTGAGAATGATTCAAAGAGAATTCGACTAATGATTGAAGTGAATAGCGAAGTAGAGTAAAAGAATCTATAAAGAATTTTTCATTTTCAATTAATTATCTTCAATTTTTTTAAATAATCGGTCTCCATAAAAGGACAGAATTTATTAATTTCACCGATAATATATATACATGTGAAATATATATATATGACGTGAAAAAACATTTACCTCTGAAGGATTTGAAATTATGTCATTGAAGAATTTGCAAATGCCGCGTGTTTTTTGTGTGAATAACTTCGTGTCACATATTGGGCGCGTTTCGCAATCGACTTAGTAGCAGTAGCAGTACTGTAACCCTATCTAATTTCGCTTTACTGCAGCTACAGTAGTTGATTCCGAAACGCACCCATTGACCAATCAGAATTTAGGATTAGCGGTCAGGCAGTTTCGAGATATTTCAATATAAAACAACGTCACGTTTCTTTCATCTTTAGTAAACAGGGTTTCTTCCGCCCGGTGGTTTGACGCAGTGAGTAAGTTCGTATGACCACTTTTATTCGCCAATTACTGGGCTTTATTATTCACCACAAAACGTCAAAGACGCATCAAACATTTTTAAGAAAAAAACAAATGTAATTCTACTGATATAATTATTTATCCACCAAGAGATGCGAAGCGTGCTAAACACGTACGTAGTCTCCTCCACATTCTTTTATAATAAGTCAAGTACGTTTTCTCATGTTTGTTCCGTAGATCATAAGACCAACAATATGATTATCACACTGCATGTAAAATTTTTTGCTAAATAAACATGTTTTAAAAAAAAAGTGGTTAAGTTCGTTGCCTCACGTGCGAAAGGTTTCGAGTTCAAAACCCGGCCGGGTAGAATGGTGAGATCCATTCAAAGTATTGATCATCATCGCAGCATATCCAAACCAGGTCGAAGCGATGTAAAATAACGATAAAAAAATGACTTCTGTGATTTCTCAATGAGAATTGGTAATCATGATCTCTTTTGGTTTTTCGTCATTTCCATGATTTCTAGTAGATTTTGATGATTTCTTGATTTGAAGAAATCAGTGCCGGAAATGGAAATCCCTTGATTTCCAGTGATTTCTGGTAATTTCTTCGTTGATTTCCAATCGAGTCCACTTGGGTCCGATGATTTCCTAAGTGGCCAGCCCCTCGAAGTTGTGTCAGAGCCTGACATGAAAGATAGCGAGAAGGAGGAGGTTGAATTGTGATGGAGAATATGCGGCCTAAACCGAAAATTTCAAATAAATCGTAGAAATCGCAGCAGTTGCGCGCAATCAGATACAGACGCTATGGAGAGGGACCTTTAGAATGGTCTTAGTGATTTGCTGGGATCAAGTGGAAATAAGGGTAGATGTATTTTATTATTTTTATTTGAACATTTGAAGGAAGTTTCGCGCTCTCGTCAACGAACAACACCTCCGCGTCATTATTATCAAACTTTTTTCATTCCATTGAAGAATAATGATAGAAAGCGGTATAAAACAAGAGCATGACAAGAGTATCAACGGATAAATTGGATTTGACCCGTGAGTGGGTCATAGTCAACCCAAGAGCCACCTGCAGGAGTCTTCGTCACATCCCGTGTCGATTCATTTGTCCTCCCCATTTTTAATGCAGGCTCCTCTATTCTTCATTGAGCCTAAATATCCACATCCATTTGAGCATATGCGTTTTCTCCACAAAAGGACAGAGCACTGTCTATCGAGAAGCAAACCTGCCAAAGGCATCTACAAGTATGCCAAAAAGGCTGGCTAATGTCCGCTCAGAACGGTATCTTGCAGTCATAAGAGAAGTTTTAGTTCACTTTAAGGTAACTCTTCGATACAGATAACTTTTTGGACAGACATTAGACAGCCTTTTTGGTATACTTGCAGATACTAAACAGATAAGGTGCTACTTGGGTGCTTTTAAAATACTATTGTCAACCTTTCAAAATTACACATGCATCTAATATCACAGATTCTTTTAACAGATGCTAATTCACATATTCATCAAGTACAGTTGTTTATCAAAGTTCGTAAACAAAATACATAGGATGCAAGTTTTGGCTGTTCACAAACTTTAATGGGTAATTGCACATAATCATCTCCTCAGGGGAATATGTAATTCTTCAGCAGAACTAATTTTTTCTCCACGGAGAGAAATGTTCAGTAAAAATGACGGAACTCACAATTCGCTCATCGATTACGGAACCAACTGACTTAAGTGATGGTATCGTAATTTTTCACAGGAGATTCAGATAAAAATTACGGAACGCTCTGGAAAAATTCCCTGACAGTTCCGTAAAATTTCCCACAACCAAATTTCGCTCCGGAATTACGGAAAAGATATGTAATTTTTATTGAATATTTCTCTCCGTGTCTCGGTGCAGAATTCTACAAGAAACTGATTTTATACATAAACCAATGCGAATGCGATTTTATGCCTTCCAAAAGTTTAAACACTTGTAATTATTTATTCACAAAAAGGAAACGTTTGAAAATGAAGTTACCCCTCGCAGAATGTAATTTGAATAATGCTGATTACCCATCAATGTTTTGAAATTTTTTTTTCCAGACATTCGAATCATTAGGTAATATCTTCCAACCTTCCTTCATAAATAATTTATAAACAATAGGTTTTTCAGAGAAGGCATGAACTCCTCGATATCTAGAATTCCACAAGAAATCAATTTCATGCATAAACGAACGATTTCCGAAAGTTTAAACACTTGTAATTATGTATTCATGAGAAAGAAGGAAATGTTTGGAAATAAAGTTATCCCTCGCGAAATGGCATTTGAATAACGCTGATTGTTAATCAATTTCTTTAAGTTATCTCACGTTATTGGAAGTAGTACAAACACAGCTGGATTATAGAGATTACTAAAAACTACAAGGAATTACCAGGGCACTCTATTAAATTCGGAATCGCCAGATTTTTCTCAATTTAACACTTCGTTGCTCGCCCCATTTCAGCTTCGCGCCACACTTTTTACAGTTTTCATGTTAGAACCATGAGTTTCTTGAAATCAGGAACTTTTCCTCGTGATTTGGGTCGGGAAGTTGATAAAAATGGCGAAAAGATTGCACATTGCTTCAATTCGACACGTTAATTCATTCCAGAACCGTGAGGCCACTGCCAATGCAAGCGGTCCACCCTCGGCAGGCAGTCGGGATTGAATATAGCAAGTCGTTTTGTTTCGCCACATTATTCACGGCTGCACGATTTAACTACTGTAGGTCTGTGCAGATAGACCACTGCGGGACAGGTATGGATGAGGAACACTTCAGCGCACCAGGTGATTCTAAATTCATGGTCATTATGATGAAACGGACACGGAGATACCAATTCAGGAAACCCGAGTCGAATATTTTGGCCTGATAAGTCCGAGAGACGACCGCTGAATTATTCTAGTTATATCCTGTTTATATTTCCTGGGGTTTCCAAGGATTTTGGTAAAAGATTCCTATTCACTTCAATATCGAGACTCGCTATGTCGTTTATATCGTTTCTAATAAATACAAATATTGTGAATCAAATGTCCCTATTTTTCTGATTTTCTAATGAAAAAATTCTAGCTAATTATTTAGTGATAAGGTACAGGCTGGGGAAGAATAACCAGACATTTTTTTTAGGTTTTTACAGGTCTTCGTAGAGTAAAAAAGTAGCCCACAGGGGCGGAAGACAAATTAGAATTCGAATTAGTATATTTAAACACTAGTGCGTAAAAGTGTTTTTTAAATCGTGATAGGTACACTGTTAAAAATTTTGTCTGAAATTTTCGGTCCACTTTTTGGAAATTTTTATCGAATTCAATTATCACTGAAATTTCAAGGAATTTCGTCATTGAAAATTCAGGATTTTGCTGAAAAATCAAAGAGAACTGTAAATTTCAGTTCTATTTTTCGCTGAAAATAAATAGTAAACTAGAAAATTTCGGTAAATATCTTTTGGAATTTTCAGAACAGTGACACTCAATGCAATTTAGGGTGAAAAAATCATGAAATTTCAAATTTCACTGGAAATTTTATGTAATTTAGCGCTGAATATTCATATTAGATTGAAAAATCAAATAAATTAAGGAATTTCACTGAATTTTCAGTGAATCCTGATATTTCATGATTTTTTCTAGTCAACTGTCCTTTTTATTTTTTTTCATTTCCCACGTTTCCTATATTTCCCACGAGCGTCGAATCCAATTTTTTATCATAATTTGCGGAAAATAGAATTCCGTAAAATTTTACTTTACGCACAAGTGATGAAAAAATAGTAGGGGAGGGTAGGGCAAAACGGACCACTGACAGAAAATTGATAATTTTTGTTTTTGCTTCCGAATGGAGCAAATTCTAAGTCATTTATGGTTTAAGGGGATTAGCAAATCTGAACAAATTGCCGTTCAACGACACTTATTGTCTATAAAACCCCTGTGACGGTTACGATCCAAGAAACTCACTTTTAATTCAACACATTCAGTGTTCCTGATTTGAAGGAAAGAAAAAAACACAAAAATTACCAATTTTCCGTTAGTGGTCCGTTTTGCCTTACCCTCCCCTAAGTATTGCACTTGCTGGCCAAAAAGTGAAACTTTGCGCACTAGTAACGGAATATACAATAAGTGTGCAGACGAAAGTGAAAGGTTGCGGTGTCCGAGAAAGTAAATCGATTACCACGCTAGAGAAATTCCTACACAGTGAGAT